TAGTTTTGGCCAAAACTAGGCCTTACTTCGGTGCGACGACGGCGTGACGACGGCGCGACGACGGCGCGACGACGGCGCGACGACGGCGCGACGACGACTCGACGACGATGCGTCGACGGCGCGACGACATTGCGACGATGGCACGACGATGATGTCGCGTTGTCGTCGCACAGTCGCCGCGTCGTCGTCAGCTCGTCGTCGCGTCGTCGTCGCGTCGTCGTCGCGTCGTCGTCGCGTCGTCGTCGCCGTCGCGTCGTCGTCGCGTCGTCGTCGCGTCGTCGTCGCGTCGTCGTCGCGTCGTCGTCGCGTCGTCGCAGCCTCGTCGTCACATCGTCGTCGCATCGTCGTCGCATTGTCGTCGCATCGCCCTCGCATCGTCCTTGCATCGTCGTTTCGTCCCGTCACACCCCCCGTCCTATCCACTAGAGAAGCTTCGCAGACAGCTTCTGACCTTCGATAAATTATTATTATGGTGTGGCCCAACCTAACAAGGGGGTTAGAGTTACAGGTAAATGGGTTATTGGAATCGGCATGGGGCTGCACACGGCTAGCACTGGAGAGCAGCACACACACGCACACCTGAACATGGCAGAGGGGAAAAGGGCCCTACATCAAAGGGGGCAAAGGAAACCCCAGCCCAACACAGCCCTACGTCGGAGAGGCGATGGCAAGGACTGTGAGCAGCGTGATGTTGCAACAGAGCCAGTGCGGAGGGTGAGCCCCACACCATGCGAGGAGGGAAACCGTATAAGGGGACGGTCCTTCAGAAAAACAAGCCTCAAGGTGGAGGTAAGGTAAGTCAGGAGACAAGCCGTCCGCAAAGCCTGCAGTCCTTTGGGCCCCAGAAACACAATGCTGTCACTTGCATGACGGCACTTTGAGCTGGACGCAATCCATCGCTTTTAGCGGTAATTCTGGGCCGGGACGCCCAGAAGGCAGGGGGCACGCCCCAAGGCCCTGCAGCGACAGGCGTGCGTCATCGAAACGCGGGACTTCCGCAAAGAGGTGAGGAGGGGAGCACCGTACGTCAATGCAGAAAGGGCACGCAATGAGCAAGGAATGGGCAATGGCGAGATGTGCAGGGCACTTTCGCTGGACAGGAGTTGGTGCCTGGATTGCAGCATGCGTTAGCCCGCTTAGACGGCGAGAAGAGTGGCTTCAATACTATTTGGAGGAGGTAAGTTGGTCATTTCCAGTGAGCTTATGTCCAAAACGTTCTATGTCCGTGTGCTGGTTCATGCTAATCTGTGTGGGCCACTGCGGAGGGCCTGTCCTGACAGTTGCGGCAAGTTAGTGCAGTCTTGTGTAGTTGTACAGATGAGTTGTCGTCCTCCCGAGTGGGCTGAGCGTATGATGGCATTGTTGTGAGCATCATTGGGTGCTTGCGGGATGCTTGACGGACTGCTTGTTTCACATGTATAGCGTGCCCTTGCTGCGCAAGACCCTCTGGATGGCACTCCAGAGAGAGTGGGCAAGGAATTGCGGAATGCATGCTTGCGCGTGGAAGCCCAGATGGCCCCGGACCTAAACATGTCACAAGGAAGGACAATTGATCAGGGGACAAAGACTCGAGCCACGGATTCCATGTAGTACTCGTTTGAAGCCCTTCTGTGCCCAAAACTGGTGGCAGGGAGGCAGGGATGGTGGCTTGGACTGGAACCCCGCTGCTTGGCGCAGAATGTGGACGCCATCAGGAGCGTGAGTGCAAAAGACCCGAGCGAGGCCCAGCGCAAGCAGGGTTAGCAACGCGACGAGTGAACCGGAAGCAGGCGGTCATGGTAGCCGGGCAGGGCTTCGAGGACCAAACCCGAAGGGGCTGCCACAGACCACGCGCATGTGCAGTTTTCGGCTGTTGGACTTAAACTGAGGAGAAACCAGGAGGTGCTCGCCCAGAAGACTGATGATCCTCCGCGCCATTCTGGCAAAGCAGAAAGCCGTTTGCTTCTGCCATGCTCAACAGGGAGTCGCCTGGTCAGAAGAAGCCCCGAAGGCAAGCCACTTACCCCAGCCGCTGGCCGTGATCAGAAGCTCCGCTACCACGCGTGCAAAGCCACGTGAAGGTATGTAGCGGAAGGGCACAGATTTCATCAGGGTTCGAAACGTGTATGTTTTGGGCGGCTTCCCCATATGAGCTTCTTTTTTCGGGTCGTTGCTAATTTCGAGACGCTTAGTTGAAATCAAAATCTGATTGCACTTTGTTGCCAACGCCCATGCTGCCTTCTTTTCCCTTGGATCCCCCTCAACCCCACCGGTGTCATCTCGGGACAAGTTTAAAAAGCAAAAAAGGTGTCTTCAAGGTAGCCAAGCACGGAAGGAATGTCATGCCGTTCGATGCTCATTTACATGCTGTTGATATGAGCGGGTGCCATTGATTTTGACAGGGTGCAGATGCAACGCATACATCTCGTGACCCAGATGTGGAAGTTATGTTTCTCCTGCTTGCCTGTCATTGCTACAGTCTCATAGTTACATTTGAGCCCTTGAGGCAATTGGCCCACCAGCGCAAGGCCCGTCCTTGAGAAGGTGAACCAAGCCTATGTGATCTTCTTCCTTATTTATATTACAATTATTGTGTTTGCCGCCATCAGGGTGATATCTGCCGTTTTTTTGAAGGACACCCTTGAGGCTGCGCGGAATGATGACGAAACTTTGGTTATTGAGCGCTTGCGGAACAAGCAGAAGTATGTGCAGAAGCTTCAAGAAGTTTTCCATGCAATTGGTGGTTCTGTGGACGGACTGATTACAGAGGAGCGCTTGGCTTCCATTCTTGAAAGCCCGAAAGCATTGGCTTATTTTCAAACCTTGGATCTGGACGTCACAGAGACCTCTGCGCTTTTTAGTTGCGGCCTCGGTTGGCAAAGCGCTGCCAAATGGTGTCCTTGTTGGGAAAGTCACATGCAATGCGTTCGATCAAGGTCTCTTAGATAATGGTGATGGAGAACCTTGGATTACGGCAGGCAAAAGTGTAAGATGTAAGATGGCGCAAGGTAGTTTCAGGCAGTGCTTTTTAACTCGTGTTGTGTCCGCAATGTCGTCGTCAGTAAGGAGATAACGCAAGAAGAATTTATTGATGGAGTTTTGATCCTTGGACATTGTTCGGCTTTGGTACGGTGAAGGTGCTTGATGGTTGACACTTGGTCATGTGTGCGTACATGAGCGAGAGAAGTAGCAGCTACAGAATGTTGATGGCAATGTGCATTTCGAATGTGTTAAGCTTTGAGCCGAATCTGTGTTGCGTTGTGTTATGGCGTAACGTGGGCCTTCTGTACCCCTGTGGTGCTCAGGCGATGCAAGGGCCCAGCATGGGACTCAGCTGGTGCCATATTTAGGTAGTCCTTGCAGTCTGCCAGTAACAAAGCCAGTAGCAGCAGCACGTGTGTACCAGGGTGTTCACAGGCGGTAGCTTGGACAAGAGGGCCGCGCTACCTCAGGCACGTGCTATCGATCAAGTGGCCTTGCGAGCGGACATGAAGCAGTTGGATGCGAAAATTTCACAGACGCCAACCTTGCATGGACACAAACTTGAGTATTCTTCAGGTTCTGCCCGGTGTTTTCCGTGTTCCTTAGAGCCGAGAAGTTACGAAGAGCTGCACTTTTGGCTTGGTGGGGCGTTGCCTCGTGTGTTCAGCGTTCCGAGTCTTTTTGCAGACCACAAGAGAACTGTGCCAGAACATGATTCCGTGAAGTTTCGCTCTGGTAGGGTGACTTTCTTCTGCAAACGACATGCCATTTATTACCTCTTGCGGGCATGCTGGGAGTGTGGCAGCAGAGTTGATTGAGGATCACCCGCGCACTGAAGCTGCCCAACCCGCGCATTGAATCTTGAGAAATGAGCGGTCAACTATGTATCGGGTGCAGTTTGCGCGGAAGGCGAAAAACTCGCCTCCGCGCGCACCTGCGCGTGTGCGCATTGCGAGTCTCACGGCTCCTTAGTTTCACAAAATCGGACTGGCCATCCATGTCCAGAACCTCGGAAATAAAGACAGCCAGATAGCAGGCATGGGAACACGGATTCGACCGCAAGCACTATTCACAGTGCATGAACATTCAGTCAAGTTCAGTGATTGTTGCTGAGGATGCGCAGCTCGACTTGTGTTACAGCATCAGCGCGAAAGAAGTCGCAGAAGCTCTGCGCAACTTGTGACTCGGCCCCAAACGTCCCACCCTTTGCTCAAAGCTTGGGTCGGCCACGTGCCGTCAGGACAACCTGGAAGCAGTCAGGGAAGCTATGTGCTCCTTGGCACTTGCAAAGAGAAGAGGCTCAACCTTATTCGGGATCGCGCAGGAACTTTTTCATGGGTTCGCCTTTGTAGATGCAAGACTAAGACCTTGCCAGCCTTTCATGTACTTATAGATGTTCTATCAAGCTGCCATGTTTTGCCAAGGAGTGTTTTCCACCCGACTCTGAGGGTCTCACCCTCTTCGAGATTTGTGCACGTGCAGGTTTGGCAGAGCTTTCGGGAGAGAGATGGTTTGGATTCATTTTGGCTTTTGGCAAGCAAGGGCGATCCGAGAAGCTCAGAGCATTGGCCGCCGCGGCCACCGTGCCATCGCTGCAAGTTAGCGCAGCCAGGGCGTAGAGTGTAGAAATGCAGCTGCCTTCTTGCAGCTGACCTTGAAGAAGAATGCAGGCGCGATTGCGGAACCTGATTCTCCAGGGGACCGCCACGCTGCCGCAGGCCATGAGGGGCAAAATGTGAAGTCGGCACCAGAGATGCAGAGAGAGAGCTATTCAGAACCGCAGAGAGGTAATGAAGCTTCTTCGAGCTGGGGCCGAGCCAACAAGACAGAATCTGAGCTGCTTCGTCAACCAGCAGGCCACTGTGCTTCTTGTTCGTCTTGGAGTCTCACTTGCTTGGGCTAAGCCAAATCCTTGTGCTTGTCCGCTCCTTAGAGTCTGCAGGGGGATGTCAAGAGGACCAGCATTGCCATTGCCTCAGAGCACCGAAATTCTGTCAAAGGAGGGCCTCCAGTCACCAACGCTCAACTGCCTGTGGCCTCAACATTTGGCAGCCGGCATCAGGAAGTCGGGCCAAACGCAACTCCTCGCGCACAAGTCCTTGTGAACATCCTATCCTGTTCGGGGACCCCACTGCACTGGGTGCGCCTCTCAGAAGCGTGTGGCTGTTTGGAGGCTGGCTGATGAAAGCGCTCTCCTTCCGAGGTCTGCCATGCCGCCTCGCGCGTACCGAGCAGCTGCAGAGCCCACTATGTCGAGATCACAAGGCGTACGTGCGTCAATTTCCCTCCACCTTTGCAGACCCGTTCCCGATGCACGAACTGCAGTGGGAGCATGCCTCAGTAGCGATTCGGCAGTTAGACGCCTCACCTTCGAAGCTAGGCAGCTAGTCTGATTTTGCTTATGCTCTGTCTTGCAGATATCTCTGTGATGCGGTGCCGCTCTGCCTCTTCTTGTTGAATGACGCTGGGCCATTGCACAACTTGCTTTTAGCTGCTGAAGCTACCTCCATACTCTCAAGGAAACGCTTTGTTTCTCAGCAGTGGCAATGACAAAGGACAACAAGCAGACGCCGCTGGAAGTGCTCCTGAGCAGAGCTGAAGGCCGCCCAAACCGTGATACCAGCCTTGATGAGAAACATGGTATTCCTTCGGGCAAGTTGGTTGAGGCCTAGTTGCAGGCATACTGTATAGAAGTCTTCCTTGTCCTAACATGCTCACCAGTGTCAAAGAAGAGTGCTCTGCATCAGGCCCTGCAGGCCCGCTGATCTGCTCAAACTGCGGAAAGAGCGGGCACGTGGCAAACGAGTGCGTGCGTGAGAAGCAGTATGCTTCACGCAACTTGCTCCAGAGCATGTTCCAGGAATGAGGTGAACAATGTTACAGGGATGGCTTTTGAGGCAGATGTGAGATTGCGTTTGATGGCAACCAAACATGATCAGAATCTCAGGCACGGAGACCTTGGCAGCCCTGTCTTCAGGCTTGGGATGACTGCGTTCATTTCATCCCTTGCAAAAAGTAATGAGGGAGAGGGATTGGCAGGGATCCTGTTCTGCCAGGCTTTGGCAAGGCCGTCTCGCAGTACCCTCTCCTAGCTGCATCGCTGATTGCGGGCGAAGGACCCGTGCATTGATGAAGACTCAGGAACTATGGGATGCATCGGCATCACTCCTCAGATATGATGCTTAAAGTTGTGAAGCCACGTCCCGCACAAAAGATCTAGAATGGCAACTCACGTGCAAAACCGCAGTCCTCACCTGCTTGAGCTGCAAGTCTAGGCTGGCAGGAGTTGGTCACGTTTGACATCAGGATCCAACTGGGTAAGGGGCCCGAACAATACCAGCATTTTTCCAGTATGAACGGGATGGGGTTGCGATTCCAGAATCTCAAGGAGGCCAAAGCCAGTAGCTGGTTGCAATTCCAAGCACTGAATGAGCCAGCCAAGCCATAATCCGCTAAGAATGCAGAAGCTCTCAAATCAGTTAAGCCCAACATGGTGAATCAAATGCACGGCATGCGTTTGATCTTGCTGATTTCCGGGCCTGTGCCTAGCAGTCTTCTCATGCATCGCCGATTCGCTGCCTTCCAAATCCTGGGACAAGTAAGGTAGCCGCGTGGTTGCTTTTGCTAAAGCCATACAAGAACTCACCTAGTTTGCTTTCGGCACGTGCTTGGAATCTCTTCCGACTGGAAAAGCATTGAAAACCCCATTGAAGTCGCAGCGCAGCTGGACACCCCTCCTCAAGCTTTGAGGATGCACGTTTTTCAGAGATCTCCCAGGAGGGCTGCGAGGCGCTGTTCTGGAAGCCCGTGAAGCGCTGCTGGCGCAAGCGCCCGTTGCGTCTTGGTCGGCACCGTGCCAGGATCCATGACAGGGAGTATCTCCTTGAAGTCGTCTTAGGCCTTGCCATGCCTTGCCTCTCTCTCTCTCTCTCTCTCTCGCTCTCTGTGTCTTTGTGGCTTTCTCTTGGTTTTCCCCTTCTCCACAACAAGTTTGCTCCTTTTGCTATGTCTGGCTTGGAGCTCAAGCAGTGTGAGTAGCCCGTCGAGCAGCGTAGCCCGGCTCGCAGCAACATCCAAAGAACAGACGATTGCCGCTTTGCGGAAAGTATCATTCAAGTCAGTTGAAACCTTTCCGGGTCTGCCATGCCGAAGCCGGCTCCGTGGCCTGGGGCAAGCAACTCAGCCGACTTGTCCAAGCTTCTGGAGGCAGAGCAGCACCGGATTCTGGACTTGGCCCGTGCGCAGCATGACGCCTTTGAGCAGTCGGTGCAGCTCTCGCTCCTTGTCCTCCTATGCGCAGCAAACTTTTCTGTTGGATTCTGTGGACCCTGAATTCGCTTTGGGTGAGCTGGCCACACGAGGTTTTCAAAGATCTTGCAGCTTGAAGCAGTAAGAAGTGCTGGGCAAATGGCCAGCAAGGTGGAGAAAGAGGCGTCCCCGGTTCAGACCGACACTGCTATTGGCCCAACCTTCGACAACTCAGTTCTCGAAGCCCCAAGAGCAGAAGAGGCTGGCTCACAGGACAATGCCTGGACGGCGGAGCCCGCATTGCCGTCACCACATTCAGCGCATTCAGCGCACTCTCTTGGACGGTCGGGCTCCTCTTTGAAGAAGCAGAAGACAAAAAGCAATGCAGAGGACTTGGGGTTCGAGCAGAAGAAATCAGTATTCATGTGGGGTGTCAGAGGCAGCAGAGTCGGTGCATGACATGTGGCCAAATGGTGAGGTTAAGCAAGTGCAGTAGAAATTCTACAGCCGTAGGGTGTGAAGCTGGCACATGGATCAAGTCCATGCTTCAAGAACAAGGTCCGAAGCAGCCGGGACTCCTACTGTTCGTTGAGGAAGGTTGGTCTCCGCACCAGGCACCCTACGTTCTGAGAAGACGCTCTATGTAGATGCAGACTGATCTGTGACACATATAGTTCGAATTCGATCTTGGCATGATGGTCTGCCTAAGCAGGAGCTCTTGGGACTTTCGCAGCTGGTCAGCCACACAAAGGAGTACATTGACTTCGTGGCTGGTGCTTTGGTGCTCTTGAATTCCTGCATAATGCTGGCGGCTTGGCAGTACTTAGTACAACTTGGAAAGTTTCAATCATAAGCCGTTACTTAAAATCAAGTGCAACAGACATGGTCGTCGTCAGGCGGAGCTTGAGGCTGAGGGTCTTGCCTGGGGAGCAAAGCTCGGACTTGGGACCGGGCCATCATTGACGGACGTAGTTCCCATCTTTCAGACTCTTGATGCTTGGGCTTGACTGGCAGATGCACTTCCCTACTCCCACAAAGTATTTGTGAGGTTCCCGGGAATTCCGGACATGTCATGCTGATCAGGACACTGCTTTCGTTTTCGTCTTCTCACTGGAGCTGTTTTTCCGCGTGGTACTAGAGCGCTGGGACTTTGTGCGTGATGTGGCCAATTGGTTTGATGCCTTCTTGGTGGCCTTCGGAATCATTGACATACTGCTTTTCGTTCAGATGTCAGGACTGACGAGCTCTGAAAGCCGTGCCGTGCCGCAAGTTTTCATGTTCACATCTCACCTTGGAACGTCTAGAAAGTCTTCTGGCTGCTAAAATCACCAGGATCAGAGGCGCAGAACCTTGTCCTGCTTCGTTTGGTCCGTGTGCTGAAGTCAATCCGAGCAATACGAATGCTCCGCACGTTCCGCTTCCTGAAAGGCCTCCGTTTCTTGGTCAAGGCCTGCTACTGCTTTCTTCCATCTTTGGGGTGGTCAATGCTGTTACTTCTGGTCTTCATTTGCATGGGCACGCTGGTGCTCGGGAATTTGCTTCAAGATTTTATTGCTGACGATGCAGCGAGCCTGGAAGACCGGCAGTGGGTCTGGGACCGCTACGGCACGGCCTCTCGCGCCATGTACACCTTCTACGAGAGCCCCGACCTACAAAGCAGAAAGGTTTGGTTGATGCCAAAAGCTAGTAGTTTGCTGAGGATCATTGTCGATGTTGTGCTATTGCCTTCGTTTATGCATTCAGCGCGAAGAAAAGAACACAAAGTAGAAGCTAGCTGTGCCTCGTGGGCATGGAAAAAGTCCCCAGCATCTCCAGAGGCGGAGCATTGCAGAGGCAAGTAAACTTGCCCAGGGACAGTACGGTGAAAAGTGACTTTTGGCTCAAAGTGGAAGCTACTAGGCCCATTTCCGTTTTTCCATATGGCAGCGAGCCTTTGTCCGAGCAGTGATTCGCTCTCAGAGCCTCAGGCTATGGCGTACTGACAAATTGCATCCCGAGGTCTCCTGTCTTGCAGGAACCCCTTGGAGCACAGAAGCAGCTGCGCAAATCCACGACGCTTGGGTTATGCAGTGCCCAGGCTTCATCACTAGCTTGGATTGGAACCAAGCCTACAGCATGGCTCCCCCGCCTCTGCAACACTCCTGCAAGTGCTTGGCTGGCCGCCGCTGTCATGAAACAAGCCTGGCGACACGACCGCTTTCTGGTTTGGCATGGAGACGTCAGCAGTGACGCGCTACATGCTTCAAGCGCTGTTCCACAGTGTCCCCTCGTGCCCGTTGTACTCTCGACTTGTCCCTCAACTTGCGCGGGAACACCGCCAAGCCGCAGGTTGCCGCTCAAGGCATCTGGAACCGCGATGCGGTCAAGCTGCTGGGTGCAGCTGTTGTCTCGCTGGCGTTTTGTGGCTCGGTAGGCCACCGCCCTGCATGGGGGTAAGGCAACTCCATTTTCGGCCCTCTCACAAGGACGCGCGGTGCAGCTCGTATGGCTGGGAATGGCTAACGGCCGCACACGGAAGATGCAGCCAATTGTCACCTTGACTGGTGTGCGTGATTGCTCAAGCGAGTCTTCGCCATGGCTCGGCGTGTCACTGCCGCCACTGGCAAGTTGGTCTTTTGAGGAGATGGCTGAAAGGGTCGAGTGTGGGGCTTGGGATTGGAGGCGCAGCAGCAGTCTCGAAAGAGAACAGTGCCTGCATGCCAGAGACAGCTTCAACATGTTGGACAGGGTCATGAAGCCTGACTGCGTAGCTCACGCAGTGAGGCAGGCTGTGCGCAACTTTTATGGCGCAAGCTCTTCACCTTGGGACCAGGACATCGCTATATGCTTTTGGGCAGTTTTGCCAGTGACCTGTGGCTTCTCAAAACAGGAATCAGGGATATGGACCGTTGTTCTGTTTGCGGGACCAGGGGCTCCAGACCACAAAGACCACGGTGCCAGCTCGCGGCCCGCATGGGCTGGGCTCAGCACCCAGCTATTTTGAACCATCTTGCAGCCACAGCTGAGATGTTACGGGAGAGTCGACACGAGCCAAGGTGAGCCTGCTGAGGTGTTCTTTGGGCTACCCGACGCCACGCGTGAGCGTGATGCTTGTTCGCGCATGATGTGGCCCACTGAGGTGGAAACAGCGTTAAATGGGGTTGCGTTTGGTCGCTGCTCTGTCACTTCCTGGTTGTTCTCAGGTTAACTTGACGTTTGTGGATTGAGACCGAAAGGCTCACTATCCTTGCATGCTAATTTAGCCTACCGACCATTGGAATCGCTGTGCATTTCTTAGCGAGGCTTGCCCGTGCAAAAAACAACCTTTTGCGACGTTGTGCTCTCCGCGCTCCTGGCTGGAAACGTTCAAGCGTCCCTACTACATGAGCTTTGTACAGCTCCCAGACGCCCTCGCAACATGCTTCAACATCGCTTTGGGTGGCCCTTGCAGCAGAAACCGTAGCTGCAAGATCCAGCGCTGCGCTTCTGACAGAGTTGAAAGCAGCTTGTGGAATGTGCGCTGGTGCTCTCAAAAGCCAGCGTAGTTCTGAGGCGGACAGGCGCCCTGTGCGCTGCGACGGATTTTTTTCGCTAAGGAAGGTGCAGTGGTTCAAATGCTCCGCCTTTGGAAACGCTGAGGGCTTTTCTTTGCCGACAGGGCGCAGCTGATGTCTGCTTCGTTTTGTTTTCCTCGTGCTGAATGCAAAAGGTCGCGCAAGAAAGCAACATCTGCGTGACAGGGGAAATTTGCGCACTTTATGATATTGCAGGCGTTTAAGAAAGTCCGAAAGCGCTAGGGGCTGTGAGTCGGCGCTTTATAGTGCGTTTAAAGCGATTTTGAACGGGATGTCTATCTGTGGGTCTCCAGTAGAAAGGAGCTGTTCACAGCTCGAGGCTAGGAATCGTGCTGGCGATATAGGAAATTGCTACTTCTGGAAGTTTCACAGCAACTCTGCGTGCGTTTTCTAGGCGTCCCTGGCGAGCTCCCCCAGCTTTGCGACGAAGCACGGCACGCCGACGCTCTTGCGCCACAGTGTCGTGTGAACGTACTTCATGGCCTGTACATGGATGCTCAGGTTAGCAGGTGCTCTTAGAAGACGAGCATTATTAGCGGACGCATTTGGAACACGAACGCAATTATGCTTTGAGATGCTTTGGGCATGGATTCTTGGGTTAGCGTGTGCTCTTGGAGCACGTACGGAACAACGTGTTGGTCATGGGTGCTCTGTGTTTAGCAGGTGCTTTTGGAAAACAAGCATTATGATGTTTTGGGCATGGATGTTCTGTTTAGCAGGTGCTTTTGCAACACGAACGTGATGATGCTTTTGGTATGGATGCTCTGTTTAGCAGGTGTTCTTGGAACACGAACGTTATGATGCTTTGGGCATGGATGCTCTGTTCAGCAGGTGTACTTGGAACACGAACTTTATTTTTTTGGGCATGGGTGCTTTGTTTAGCGGGTGCTTTTGGAGCACGAACGTTATGACGTTTTGGGCATGGATGCTTTGTTTAGCAGGTGTTCTTGGAGCACGAACGTTATGATGTTTTGGGGCGTGGATGCTCTGTTTAACAGCGGGTGCAGTTGGAACACGAACGTTATGATCGTTTGTGCAGGGCGTCTTACAGGCACCGTTTCCCATAAGAAGGGCAACAGCACAACAGCGGTAGAAACCCTGGTCGGCTCCACTTTGGTGGCTACATCATTATGTATGTCGGGTTGACAGGGTACTACCGCTATAACTATAACAGTTTTTTACCTCTACAACTCTCGATGTCTCCTCGTAGAAACTCCATTTGGCTTCACTTCTTCTTTGTGTTTGTCAAAGTGAAAGGGTACTACCTCTCAGGATCACATTTGCTGGCAATTGGCCAACCAACGCCAGACCAGTCATGGACAAGGTCCACCGTTTCTTCGTTTTGTTTTTTGTACTGTATGTTACAACAATAGTTTTCGCTGCGTTGAGGGTAATAACAGCTGTGTTTTTGCGTGACACACTCGACGCTGCTCGGAACGATGACGACGCTTGGCTGCATGAGTTTGCAGATGCAAGACGTGCTCTTGGCAAGGCGGAGTTGCATGTAGGCTTTCACTTACCTTGGTAGTTTCCTTGCTGTGCAGTGCTTCCAATAGCTAGGAATCATTAATTGTGGAGCGGCTGCGCAACAAGACGAAGTACCTTGAAAAACTCGGCGACGTCTCTCGCGAGCAGTGCTCAACTTTTGTTTGAAGCGGTTGGAGACTGATTGCAGGATGTTTGTCCGCGTTGAGTCGCTAGCCTTGGATTTCGCTGATAAGACATGCCGATTTCTGCTTACTTGACTCCGCTACAGGGGCAAGTCGATGCTGGAAATAGTGTGCCCGTCTTTTGAAAGCTGCGAAGCTATCATTTACGTCGATGCTGGAAGTAGTGTGCGCGTCTTTTGGAAGCTGCGAAGCTATCATTTACGAGGTATGTAAACGCAGAAAACGGGAATAAACCTGAGCCTTAAGGCTTTGAGGCTAGCAGCTAGCAAAGCAAGAGCGTCTTTAAAAGGCTGGCCCATGTAAGCCAAGGTTTTTGAAGCAATCGACGCCGACCACAATGGCATAATTACAGAGGATCAACTTATAGAAATTCTTGAGATACCGAAAGCCGTCTCTTGGCAAGAGTTCAGCACAAGGTTGGCGTAGGCTGACCGTGCCTTGAGTTGTAGTTGGCATCTTCTGTCTTGACATTCTTCAGACCTTGCCCATGACAACGCATGAGGTCGCATATTTCCAAACCTTGGATGTCGATGTACTGGAGGGTGCTGCTTTATTTCGCTTCTCGGCAGCAGTTTGGTTTGCAGGTTGGCTGCTGGCTGGGAATTGTTGGCTAGCATTCCCTGGGCTCAGGCATTTTGGATAACGGAGACGGGAGGACGGGCCTTTTGAATGCACAGCTCTCGTGGCGCACCAGGGTGCAGCCACGAGTCTGTTGAAAATGATCTCGTCTTGTATGGAGGATAACGCATGAGGAGTTCATTGACGGCATCCTACGATGTAAAGGCAAGGATTCGATGTTCCTCTTGGTAGCCAAGCAGTCTAAGTGTAACAGTTCAGCGCACGATGTATTTTTTATACATGATTGCGACAAATAGCATGGCGTGCTTGCAACACTGTATCCAGATCTGTTAAAGACCTGTTAAAAACAAGTCTGGGAATCAACACAGAAACACCAATGCCAGAGGAATCAGATGCCAGAATCGTAAACAAGAATTGCGACGATGTGTTGAAACTCTTTAGCTCTCGCATTCGTGAGCAAAGCATGTATTTGCTCTATTCATATTTATATAACGGATCAGTGCTTGGAATTTCTTTTGTCACTTGTGGCTGGGTAACCCTTTTTATTCGCGATCTACTGCAGATTCTCACATGAAGGTTTCGTGGCAACATCCCACGATAGGGCGCGCTGCTCTTTTTAAAAAGGAACTTGGAGAAAGCTTATGGGGATTTTATCTCGTGATGTGGCCCTCCTAGGAGGGAAGGGATAGCAGCCAACTGTATATGTTACTAGCTACAGTTGTCAAACTTGCCGGCCCGCGGGGTTTCGTGCTGATTCGGAACCGTTCCTCCAGTTCCATGTATTTGAGGGCAACAGTTTTCTGGCAGGCCCTGCTCGTGCCATGGAGCAGGTCGCCATGCGAAGCGAGCTGAGGCAGGTGGATGCGCTCTGACAGAATTCAGCTGGTGTGGGTATGCAAGAGGCCTGATGATGTTTCCGGGTCGCCTGCAACAGTGCATGGATTCCCAGAGGATTATCTGTAGCCATCTAGATTCTAGATAAAAATTCTGCATGTTGTCGCTGGTGCTGAAGCTTTTTGATGCGTTACGCTGATGAGTTGCTCGCAAATGCCTTCAGATGTGACATTGTTTGATGAGAGAAGTCGGCATGTTGAGCCAAGGCAAAGCTGAGCAAACTTGTCCGCTCGCTGGAGCGAGCTTCCGTCATCAAGATGGATTCAGAGGGGGTTCCTGAAGACCTTGAGGAAGCCTGATACAGTTGCTATGGCTTGGTAGTGATGAGCTGGGTCGTGCGACAATGTTTTGCACCCCTGATAATGTATGCAGAATTCGGCCTGCCGGATTTGATTGTCAGGCTGCGCATAATGTTGCCTGCCAATCATGTCTTTTGTGCGTTTGGGCCCCTAGGAATGTCAGGGCCAGGCGGAATGCTTGCCAGCATCAAAGATGCCAGACCCTTTTTGAACTTGACCCCTGTCACACTGCCGTGGAGACGAAAGTTTCCGGCCTGCAGTTCAGTCAACAAGGCCTTGGGAGTTTTTGATGAAGCAGAGGAATGGGGGCCCTCTCTACCGTGCACTATGGGGATCTCAGGATGGTCTCGCCATCGAAAGCCTCGATGCGCTGCTGAGCGCTGGTGGCAAGCCTTCGCTGATAGAGGATTCTTGTTAGGCAACCCGCCACGATCCGCCACGCTACCCCGAATGATTGCCCTTGTGATTGTCAAGCTGCTGTTCCATGGAAGCCAAGGAAACGTGTAAGCCTTCGGATCAGTCGCCTTTCCGCTGGCAGGCGCATCCTTGACCTTCGCGCAGTCAGTTGGGAAGGGCCTTGCCTTTAGGAGGGTGTAGATGTGGGCTCTGAACCTCAAGAACCAGTCGACCGTCCGAGTCCGCGTCTTCAAATGCGTAGCAGCTCTTCCGTCCTCAAATGGAGAAATTGAAGATGCTCGTGGACCCTGTGTTCCAGCATTCTCCAGCGAGTCCAAACTCCTTGTCACGAGCCCGCTTCAAGGGAAGCCCTGTGCACTATCCGCGAGGACGAGTTTTGCGCAGCGGAAGGCCTCGGTGGTCTCAGTGCTGCCCGGGCACGTCAGAAGGCCAGCACAGACATGCCTCCAGCACGGGATTTTTGGGGTTCGGATTGGTAAGTCCTAGATGACGCCCAGTGTCGGCGGCTGAGGCTGTCTCTTCTATCAGACGTGCAGCCGGGCAGGAGTCGCTGGGCTGTCAGAAGTGCCAACATTGGAACCTGGCTCCCCTTTCTCTTTCCGTCGTCAACGCAATTTGCGACTAGTTATCCTAGTTTATTTTAAGCCGCCTTATTACGCGGCAAGACTGTGACTGAGCCAACTTGGTCCAAGGACGGACAAAGCTGACAAAGCTGAGCTGCAGCAGAAGCCACCTGTCCTTACATAGGATCAGAATTGACACTGAAGCGATTGGAAGCTGTTGGGCACTCCTCTCCCTGCCTTGCCTGGCATGACGGCCCCTAGATCTCGGAGCCTACCTGAGCAAGCCTTGAGGCTTCTAGCAGAGCAGGAGGCACGTGCCAAAGAGCGGAGAGAGCTTGAGACCAGCATCTTGGTACAGCAGAATGAGATGTGTAGCCGAAATCATTGCAGTTGCAGGTAAACCTATGAGGACTACAGTAGAATCCTGTGGTTTGTTGGCCGCCTGACTGTACCCATTCTTTCATTCAATTCAACTGCTGTTGTTGGCATGCAACTGGTGACTTTCCCCAGAAGCACCAAGGCCTCGAAGCCTTGGAAGCACAGCTTTCCCTAGCGCAGCGGCGTGCTGAGGAGGCGGAGGCTCAGCAGCGGCGAGCCTTTTTTGGTGATGGGGCTCAAACCTGTTGCAAAAGGTTCATGCTCCAGCGTCCAAGGTTTTGGGCTTAGGCTGTTGGTTTGCGGCTTGTGGGCTTTGACAGCTTGCGGGCCCATGCGCATGCTTCACACTTTTTTTTTTTTTTTTTTTTT